CACATTGACATGGTTTCTCATCACTATGTACAGTCATATGTTGACTCAAATTACTTGGTGAATTGAATGATTTTTGGCAGATATGACATGTCTGTGTCGCTTCCACATGAATTTTACTGTGACACTTTAGCCTATATCGGTTTTGAAACTGCTTTCCACAGACTTCACACTGTGCTGGTTCGATGGAATGAACGACTTTGACATGTGCTTTCAGTAATCGATCATGTTTGAACAGTTTGTTGCATTGATCGCATGGATATAGTCTATCAAATTGGTTATGAGCAGAGCTTAAGTGGAATTCCAGTTCACTCTTTCCATGGTATCCTTTCCCACATTGATGGCAAACAAACTTATTGTTGATTTGATGTCTCAGATGCCTGTGACATCCAAGGCTCTCCGAACTAACAAAAAACTTGTTACATAAATCACATTCATATTTTTTTCCAGCACTGTGATGATTTTGATGTCTTATCACCAATTTCTCAGTCACAAATTTCTTGTCACAAAAGCAGCAAGCAAATCTTTTTTCCTGATGCGATAGTTTATGATTTAGCAATTTCGACTTGTGGTAGAATTGACGATCGCAGATATCACATTTAAAGAATTCATGCTTTTTGCCATGTGCTTGATGTAAATGTCTTTTATAGACTTTATTATGTAAGAACTCCTTTTGACAAATACTGCAGTGGTAAATATCCATGTGGGATGCATGATTGTCTAGCATGTGTTCAATATAATCTGTATACATCATGCTTGAAGTTGTACAGAATCTACACTTGCGCTCTGAACACGTATTTCGTGAAACATGAATTTTCCAACTTGAACTGATGACAAAATTCTTTCCACATTTTAAGCATACAAATGGTCGTTCTTTCCGTGATTCTTCCATCAGTTTTCTTAACTGCAGGGGTTTCTGAGCAGCCTCTTCAGAAGTCCTACGCTTCCTATAATTCCTTTTTTTGGGTGGTTTACTAGTATCACTTGTTGACCTCTTCTGTCTTGCATTTGGCTTTTTGGTAGTTTTTAATAGTTTTGTTTCATCAGCCTTGTGAACGTTCTCAGGCTTAAAACAATCTTTCTCATCATGCATACTGGTACATGTTTCTTCATTTAAATTTGTCACCGATTCATTATCAATATTATTTTCATTATTATCTTCATTATCAAGGATGCCATGACTACTACAAGTATCAGTATCATCATCTTTGCAAAATGTTAGATTGTCATCATCTTCTTTATCATCTCTGTCAACTTTAGAATAGTCATTGTTTTTTTCATCACATATGTCATTACTATTACAACTATCATCTCTATCATCTTTAGAATTATCATTATTCTCTTCATCATTTTTTGCCTTTTTATTCCTCAAAACCACCTTTCTATCCACTTCAGCATTTCGACTTCTATTTACATCCATATTGCTATACTCCTGATGTGCGACTGTTTCCCTAGCAACCATATTTGTTTGGTCGCTAATATGCTGCAACACAGCACAAGAGTTTGGGTTTAGGATTTGAACATTAACATCTTTTGGGTCAGCTCTCAGTCCTAATGTCAAATACTGCTTACGAAAATTGTCTGTACCAACATATTCGCATCCAAGTTTGTTCTGTTCTGATACCATTATAAAAACATCAACTTGGAAATCATTTATAAGCTTGAGTCCCTGAATAATGAAATAATCAATAATAAAGTTTAAACAAAGCGATTGTTTCTGCAAGGTCAGGAGTGACATTCTTTGCCTGGAAATGTTGCCTGTCATATTTCAACTAGGTAATTGTATACTGTGTTTAAATAATCAGATAATGTGTGGGTAGATTGCAACTCATCATTACATATATTGTGAGGGATGTACCTGGCGCTTCAATACTGTAAATGGTTCAACTAAAGCGAGAGGGTTGTCACCTGCGCACGAGTGGGAATCGTGTCCCAAGCAATAACAACACACGCTAAAAACGCAATGGCTCATGCGTAGACGCTTGTTTATAAACAATGACATGCCAAGGCCATCTTACGCATGAGCAAGTGACGACTCACCTGCTTTAACACTGATAGTAATTTTTACTATTTCAGGATTCTATAGCATTCGTATTTTTAACCTTTCCAACCCAAGAGTGTCATTCACATAGAGTGCAAATCGCTATGGTCAAAACAAGCCTCCCCAATGATATTTGCCCTATTACAGTGATAAAGGGACTGTGCCCTTATAGCGAACGCAGCGAGAGCAGAGAAAGGTCACTCAAAAAGCGAGCACTATAGATAACATTTGTATATATAAAAGAGTATGGAAGATATCTATATATCCTAAAAGTTTGAAAACGGTGCAATTCTGGTCAATGGGCGCTGGCATTTTATTATGGCAAGCAAAAACAGCTCATTCACGATAAAACATCATCAGAATGTTCTTCATTTTATAATGCAATTGATCAAATTTTGAATAGTGTTTCAAGTCATTTTGATCAGCGGGGAAACACAAATTGTGTGTGTCGCAATCTTCTTCTGGATATCATTGTATTCAGTGCACCATTGATTAAGTCCTAGTAGAGTGACTGTGATTAAGTGTACGTAAATGGTTAATAAAAGTGTGTAAGGTAAAAAAGAAGTTCATAAAACTATACAGAGTGCAGAGGTATATTTATTTTACACAGCAGTCCAACTTTGCAAGCAGAATTGTTCTAGAAACATGCAGTCCATAACAGAGCCGTGTTGATATAATTTCAATATATACAGTTGTGATATTAGGGCGAAACAAATCTATAATAATTTGGATCCAGTGGGAACATGGAATTGGAGATGCAGTCTATATTACTTATTTTTGAAAATTGAATCTCACTCAACTTGCATATGAACTATAACTCAATTTTCAAGGTTTATGTGCCTTGATGTTCTATAGTTACGTCAGTCCTATTTTTAGTAAATCGGTCGACGACCACCGCCATTTAATTTATTCATGATTAACAGAACAGATATTTTGATTTCAAGAACATTTACCATGAGGAATGTTTAATTAATATGATCATGGAGCTAAAATTGTTTTATAGCTCTGTGGTAAAACAATGTGAACAGTTACAAAGACAACACAATTTATCACAGCACACTGATGTGAATCCATTTTGCCAATTTTCAAATTAAAGATGGAAAGACGAAAAGGCTGCCAGAGGTGAATTGTATCACAATCACAAATTCATTATTTCAGTATGAGGTTAAAAAGCCCTATTTAACTACCAGTACATTTATTTTATTTAAAGTGGGTGGAGTCGTCACCTGCGCATGCATCAGATGGCTGTAGCATGTTATCGTTTACAAACGAGCGTCTACCCATGAGGCTTTGCGTTTTAGCGTGCGTTGTTATCGTCGCTTGGGACTCAATTCCCGCGCGTGCGCAGGTGACGACCCCCTCGCTTTAATTTAGCCATGATGTGTACAGCAATGCGTGTCGGTTTCGGTCCGGCGATTCCCATATACTCCTTTTTCAAGTCTATGGCCCGTGCATAGAGCAGATTCTAGCGACCCTCCGCCAAGTACATGTGTACGTTAATTGTCTGAAATAATTACAATACGAGTGACATTACCTTCTGAAATAGGGATAACTTTGCTGAGTTGAAACTAGGTTCATGTTCTGTTGGTTTCGTCCGAGATGAAAACATCGTCACGGTGGTCGACAAACACTATCAGAGACTGCCAACGACGTTAATACACAAGTTTTGCGTTAGATATTTATTTATTAACACACAACATCCCCCGGAGGGGATGAAAAGGGTTACAAATCAGATATTAGTAAAAGAAAAATAACCACATAAAGAGTAAGGGAACAAAAAGGCATAAAAAAAAAAAAAAGATAATAAGTTGAATACAAGGAATGTATTACTGGCTTAGTTTATGTAGGTGCTGCTGTCTTGTATTAAAACAGTTTTTTAAATATTGCGCTAAAGGAATTGACATTTTCTCGTCACTTAGTAATGATATGAATTTATTTTCATTACTAAATTTGTCAAAATTTGGTATACGTTTATTAGCTACAATGTAAAGTTTTGATCTTATTTCATTGTAATGAGGACAATTTGTGACAAAATGTTGTTCATCTTCAACATGGTCATTGTCGCACATATTGCAGACTCTGTCTTTAAAATCCAATCCTGTATGCCGGCCTGTTTCAATTTTCAGACAGTGGTTGCCAAGTCTAAATTTTGTTAAGGATTTGCGAAGTTCACTGTTTTTCATAATTGTTAAGTAGTTTTCTTGTTCTATTTTGGTTTTAAAAAGTTTGTAGGTTCTTAGTTTATTTTTAGAATTTGATTTTTTCCTATTGTCATTATTTATTTCATTTTTCCACTCAGTTGTAAACTCTTCTTTTAATTTCTCATCAATTGTTTTTAATTTTGATAATGAGATAATATTTGTTTCATTTAAAAGATAAGAATGGTTAATATTATTTAATATCAGATCAAGTTTTTTAAACCATTTACTTTTAATAATTTTATTGACATAGTATGCTTCTTGAAGTAGAGTATTTGTGGAATTTGCA